GCGAGGAAGCTGAGGCGGCCCGGCTGGACTTTGACGGAGGCGGGCCACACATTCCAGGCCCCGCTGGTCAGCGGCCGCCAGTCCGCCTCGCCTGCCCCGGCGGGCCGGGCGTAGAGGTGGGTGTGCGCCGTCGGGCTCTCCACCGCCGCGAAGGCCGCGATGTCGTAGGCCTCGCCAAAGCTGATCGGATCGCCGTAGCCCACTTGGACCCCAGGCCCCAGGGGATTTGCTGGCTCCACTCCCGCGTCCAGGGGATCTCGCGCGAGGCGTCGGCGCCGGGGTCTCCACCAGAGGAGGCATACAACCCTTGCAAGCCCGCCTCATCGATAACGGGCAGGGCGTGGATCGGGCCGGACACCACCACCGCGTGTTCTTGAGTGCGGTTCAGCAAATAGAGATAAATCCCGGCGGGGCCCTTGAAGCCGAAGCGTGGGATGTACTCGACCCCGCCATCGAGCTGGAGGGCGTCGAGCGCTTTGGCGGGGACGTAGCGCATGGCGCGGGTGCGGCGCTCGTAGACCACGATGGTGGTGAGCGTGTTGGGATCGCCAACGCGGGAATAGGCCATCCGCTCCACCCCGTCATCCTCCAAGCCCTCGTCGTCGGTTTCCCCTTTCAGTAAGAGGACCTGCCGCATAATGGTCGAGTCGGTATAGGTAAAGATGATATACTCCTCGTTGGCGTAATGCCCGGTATAGCGACTGAACTCCTCCTGCATGATGTAGTCCGCCAGGCCGCACTGATGCGCCTCATCGCCGATGTGGGTGACCTGCTCAAGGGAAAGCGCGAGCGGCGCCGCGTCGTTCGCGGGATCCTCGGTCAACTTCCCGATGTAGAGGTTGTTTTGATGGACAAAGGTGAATGTGGTGAGGGGGTCCTCGCCGGAATTGGGGGCTTTTTCGGTGAACTGCACGCACAAGTTCGGCTCGGTGGCCAAAGTGTCCGTATAACGCGCCTTGTCTTCTTTTGAGATGTAAGAAAATACTTTCAAGGGCTCTTTGTGCGCGCGCGGGCCCTGTGTGTAGTAGATAAAAAAATCCAAGCCGATAAAATAAAAAATGGTATGATCGGTCTCACGTACCCGAAAAGAAGAGACGCCCGATGTGATTTGACGAGTGCGCTCCCGAAGTAGTTCCTCTTCTTTAGTCAGCTTTGCGTTCTCTTTGTTCGATAATGTGGTCTTATCGTCAATCACAGGCTGTGCAATATTGTCTAGCTTATCTTTAAGAACTCGGTAAAGCTTTTGCTCTTTTCCTTGCGTCCAGTAGAGGTAGTCCCCGGCCACTGCCATTTTCTGGGGCCTACCAAAAAGGTCATGACTTAAGTTCGTGTATTGTTCTAGTTTATCAATACAATCCTTTATAGAAGAACTTTCAGTCATGGTTCTGGTATTTTTTTTTTCTAGTTATCTTAAACAAAAATAACGGTTTAGCAACAATAATGTCAAAAAAAAAAAGGTAACCTTGGTGTGGTGGAGAAAGAAACACGTAAAAATAGAGGAAAATAAAAAGGTAGATTTACCCAACTCTGAGTCATATTATTAAAATAAAATTCCAGCGTTTTTATTGTCATTCCACCATTTTTCCCTACTTGAATACGGATATGTTTCCAAAAGCCAGCATGCTAAGAATCACCATTTTCATCTCTCCTTGTTCGTCATCATTAATGTCCGCGTTCAGGCTACGTAGGCATAAACATCATGGCCCTTGTTATGCATTAACTCCTTTTCAATAAGGTTTGAGATCCCTGTCTTGAATAATGTTATGGGTACGGAACAGCGATCTTGGAGCTTCGCCCCTACGCACTCAAACAGCTCTGAATGGCTCATCGTGCGAGATTTCTTCAAGATCTGAATGATGCACAGCTCCACCCTGCGTAATTTAGACATAAAAAACAAGTGTTCGTTGGCACTTTTTTCAGAACCGTTTAAACTGTTGGCAGGCGTTGCGGACTTCGGCGAAGCTTGCCATTCGGAAAGACTCGCGGAATATGCGCGAGAAGCCCTGGAGGAGCTTCGACAGGATCGCCGCCCATGATCCCCAGCGATGGGATCCTTTTGAAGGGCCGAGTTGGTAGAGGACTGTGCGGCCCGCAAAGGATAGCCCGCATGGTAATTAAACCCTATATTCGCAAACCCACACTCCTGCAAGGGGACGGTTAGGTCGATTGTGATTTTGGAGGCCTTGATGTGCGCGAAGTGATCAGGGAGCCAGTAGCAATACTGCCGTATGGCGTGATGGACCTCGCGCTGGACGAGGCCAAACCGCAGGAGGTGGTGGAGGAGGTGCCCCATCATCAACTTGGGGATTTTCACCGGCATGTGCGCGCACAACCACTCAAAGGTCATCCGCGGCGGCGCCGGCGGCGCGTCCGCGGCGGGATCGCCCGCGCTGTCGAGGAGCTGCAGTAAAATCAGCACCACCGGCGGCCCGGTGACGCGAATCCCGGACCTCGTGGCGGCCCCCGCCCCGGCGTCGGCCGGGGCCTCGTCGGGCTCCAAATGGGGCTGGGTCTGCCGCCGCCGCAGCCGCCAGGCCGGCAGGGGCCGGGGGCGAATGAGAAAACTCAGCCGCCCACAACAG